ACTCACCCTGAATAGTTCTTCCAGATAGTTCCAAGTTCGTAAGCAAATTACGTCTACATTGATTATCTAAAAAAAAAAGATCACGCAGTACTCATTTTGCTTACCCTGAATAGTTCATTATATTGCTTCCAGATAGTTCCAAGTTCGTAAGCAAATTACGTCTACATAGACTCAGTACTCACTTTACTCACCTTGAATAGTTCATTATATTGCTTCCAGATAGTTCCAAGTTCGTAAGTAAATTACGTCTACATTGATTATCTAAAAAAAAAAAAGATCACGCAGTACTCACTTGATTATAAAAAAAAAAAAAGATCACGCAGTGCTCACTCTGTTCATCCTGAATAGTTCATTCGTTTCTCTTGAAAACAATAATGGAAAAAGTAGCAGGTTCGCAATTTGATATAATGACTATGGAGGATTATCATGTTGTGGCATCCAGCCTGAAGGGTACACAATTTCACAAATGGATTAGAGAAGATGCTTATTATTACAAAATGCTCCAGAATTGTCTTATTGTTGTCGTCTGTGATGGACATGGATGTAAGTATAAATTCTTTAAAAGTATAATTTAACAAAATGTTTCATCTAAATATCTTATTAAAATATGTTACTGCAATAGGTACCAGAAAACATAATAAAAATGATGTTGTTGAGCTTTTGTTAAGTTCTTTAATTAGCAGCAATAGTGATAATAAAACCCTGTTAGAAAAAGAATTGCAAAAACTCGATGGTGAACCTGATAAAGATAAAATCAAAGAAATCATTAATCATGTATTCGAAAGTCTTGATAAAGATATAGTTAAAATGCAAAACCACTATGAATTTGGAGATATTGTAGGTACAACTGCTACAATTGCTTTAATCTTCAATAAAACTACATACGTAGTAAGTAATATGTTTTTTTTTTTCAATAATCAAAAGCTATATAAGATTTGCTTTATTTATGCAACATCAATTTTTAAAGGTACACCGAGGGGACTCTCCTGCTTATGTTGGTTACAAAAATGGGGAAATAAATAGAATTACTGCAGATCATAATCTGGATACTAGAAGTAAGCAACTAAATTATAAGTTATATACTATAACAGAACATTAATTAATTTAATCGTTATTACTATAGATGAATATTGGATGTTAATGGAAGAAGTAGAGTATCCTCACCTTTACGATAAAAGATATTGGCTTGATGATTCTAATGATAAAGACGGTGGTGGAGTGAAGGTGACTACTTTTTTTGGAAATACACATAATTTTACCAGCAAAAAATTTCCTCGTGATCCCCCTCAAGAAAGAGAAATTAATAGAAGATATTCTAGTAAGTTCAATTGTATAATTCTTTTTAAAATAAAAACAGACCTATTAATTTTTTATCAAATTTAAGCTCTATCAGGTTTTATTGAAATAAGCAATGAAAACATCGAGTTTATTTTTGTAACCAGTGATGGTAAGAGAAATATTGTACTGTACAAAAATTTTCTATGTAAAATAAAGTTAATCGAATTTGTATTAAAAGGGTTCGGAGATGTGGAAAGGTTTCTTAGAGAATCCGTTAAGAGGTTTAGGGTAGATGATGAAAAGGTAACAAAAGATGCTTGTTTCTTAATGGGAAAAGAACAGCAATTCGATCTTGATAAAGTGGAAGATGATGCAACTTTTATAGCTATCTTTTTCAAACAAAGAAAGGATGAAGCAGTCGAAGATTTATATAAAAGAATTAATAAAAAGGAATTTACAGATAAGAGTTGGTATAATCGACTTTATGATAAGGAAGAAAGATTTACTTACTTGCCAGTAATCAAAAGAGAGAAATAGCCGAAAAGACCAAGTTTTTATGTTTGACAACTTTTTAATAATGATGAAATGTATATGTATTAAGTCATATATCCTTGTCGCATAATAAATATTTTTTCTATATCATTGGACCTATAATTAAAACTTTCAAATCTTGCTTTATTATGAGTTTTGTATGGTGTTAGGGATGACAAATAAATGGGTTAACCTGTCTTTAAAAAATTTTTACAAAAAAAGAAATGTACCGTTTGCGTAAATTACTGCTATATTAAAAACGTAATGCTTTATAAAATTTATATAAAAAAAAAATATAGCACAATAAAAGCATATAAAAAATTCGCATAACTAAAAAACTAACTAAAAATCAAAACAAAACCTTTTGCTAGGTTTTATCTTGACTAGCATGTTCCGTTTTTTGGTGTCGGCACAAATTATAAAAATTTTCAACAGAACAACCTTGCGTCCCCAGATTATTTTCAGCTAGCTTAATTATATGAAATTTTTCAGTTGTACCAACACAAAGAATTTTAAATTTATGTTAAAGTTTGGGTTTTGTAAATCGGTTGTATTTTTAAATACAGTTAAATATTGATTATATTTATTTCGATCTATAAACTACGTTTGACGAATAAAAGATTCACGCGCCAGGATTTTGTGTCGTTCCATTTACGAAAAAATAAGAAAGTTTTTATTTAAAATCAAACATTCAAGACTTATTTAACATCAATTAATACGGCAAATAAAAAATCTGGGACAGGTTATACAAATCTCCGAATTATAAATCCGACATTCAATACGAATTTCGAAAAGCACATATTAATATATAAATTTCGAAAAGCACATGTTAATATATAAATTTCGAAAAGCATACAAATAATTAATATATAAATTCGAAAACACATGCATACAATTTAAATTTTACACATGCAACAAATATAACTGAAAGCAAGTAAAACTAGTTTTCTTTATTTGCTTTAATGTTACGAGCTTGAATTTCTTGAGGATCTGAATTTTCGAGTTCGTTTAGTGGTTGTCGTCCTGAAAATGCTCTTTTTCTGCCTTTTGTCAATCGTTTTGTTCTACGTTGTGCGGAGGCTGCTTGAACTGGAATTCGTGTTTTACTATAAACTCGTGTATTATTTGTATACTGATATAGATAGTTAAGTAGTTTGCCTGTTGATATATTGCGTGCTTTCCTGTAATTTCGAATAAAAGTCTCTAATGCAGTCTTGATTTGCGGATTTGCCATCATATCTTCATTAGCTTCTTTTAGAAATTTTTCAATAACGTCCTCAGTTTCTGAATTATTGTTACTACTGTATAATCATTAGATATCAAATTAATAAAAAAATACATTTTGTATATATACAGCATTAATATATATATATATTGTTATACGTACCTAATATTCATGAAGTTATTATCATTATTTATAATATCCGCTGTATTATTAACAAGCTCAGTACTTGTATTTGAACAGGTTTCTTGATCATCAATACTCTTAATTGTATTTGAATATTCTACCGCTACCGCTACTGTATCATTAACAGGCCCATTATTTGAAATTGTTTCTTGATCATCATTAAAATGGATAGTTTTTGAATGCAGCGATGCATAAAAGGATTTATTTTTTGAAATAAAACCTAAATTATATGTAAATATTAAATAATTGGTAATTCATTTTTATTCTTACTAATAATGATAATGTACGTATTAAAAATACTTACCACATGCGATATATGATAATTTAGCTTTATCATTAGTTGAAAGAGCCGTCAAACAATTGAGAGAACTTTGATGATATTTAATTGCTACCGCTGCTTGATGTTTGCAGGGAGCCCCTGAAGAACCTTTTAAACATGTACATGTTCCAATATTCGAGTCAATAATATAAAAAGTATTAGGTTTAGTTGCACTTGCAACTTTATAAATTCTTTCAAACCCAATCTCATTTATTAAGTCAAAATTAATTTTGTCCCATCCAGGACATAAAAATCTTTTTGCAATAATTAGATTTGGACGTTGATGTGCAATTCCTAATAGTCTTCATTCATAAAAACGTTCCATTTTATCTATAATGAAATGAAATATTTGAACGATATTATATGCTTGGGTACGACTAAATACAATATCTTTAAGCAGTCCGAAACTCCTCTCTACATAATTATTTGTATGATTATTTCGCATTAATAAATTATTCCGAAAAGAAAGTGCCCAGAATTTTCGTCTTTCCCAAATAAGATTAAAATGCCTTGCAAGTTTTTTATATTTAGGAAAATATTGCTGAGTAAATAAAGTATACTCTTTTTCCATTTCTTCTTTTGAAGAAGTATATAATATTTTTTTCATTTGTTGCATAATTGGAATTCGATCTTCTTTATTAATTGAATGATTTGAATCCCATAACCATCACCAAAATGCTTGAAGTATGTGAAATATACATAAAAGCCGGTTTGTTCCTGGCCAACATAGTTGTAATGCATTACGAATTGCATTAGAATCATCAGTAATAATTGTTACTGGCCGAATATTTGGATTGCGACCAAAAAAAGCATTTTGTGGTAAAATAGTCTTTAGCATATTAATTGCACGTTCAATAGTAATTTCCGTCTCTTCAGATGTAAGAAAAATACCCAATGGTAGACCACCTGCATTGCAGCTTGTATAAAGAAAAAAGATTGATATATTAAGTGGATCAAAACTAGCTGATGCATCAAGATAACATAACTCTCCAGCTTGTCAGATCTTTTCATGAACTCTTTTCATAAGTCCAGTAACAATACATAAAATAAAAGCTGTGCTTTTTTGAGAATTATATTCTTGCAAATAAGCAGTTCCTTTTCCAGATTTATTATATATATCAACCTCTTGCTTAAGTCGTACAAACATTGCAGCACCATTTCGCTCACCATATTCTTCTGATTCAAATATACGATATAGTCTTGAAATATATGAATAGTCAGGATTAATGGCTCGATCAGCTAACATAGTAACTAGTTCTTCATTAGTATTTGCACTTAAATGTAAATCATCTTGATAAGTGTGCCAAGCTGATGCCGCATTATGCCCATTATGAAATAGCTGATAATATTTATCATTTGTACTATTATTTACAGGTTGAAACCCAAGTGCTTCTGCAGAATTCGTAACATGATTATGTATAAAATTGAGCTTAATTTCTAGAGGATACATTTGCTCTAAGCGTGAACATTCAATTCGCATTTCCAAAGAAGCTTTACAATTTGTATCACGTGCACGTTTACTATTAACTCTTTTTGGCAATGGATTTCCTTGCTTTTTTTTAACCTCATGACTGTGCATACAATGCCGTAATTCACGAAACAAAACACGTTTGCCAGTAATTTTAAAACCACGTGAAATTCGCATTGTAGTTTTAGTTTTTTCCTGAAATGCTACTAGCCATTCTTGTGCTTTTTCTTTTGATTGAATGTTTGTAAAACAATGGATATAAAATTGCTGAATTTGGATATCTTCATCAATTTCAATATTAGGTATTTCAGAAAATTCTTGAATCAAATAATTATAATTTGAAGGTAAAAAATTTTCTAAATATTGTAAAAGTTCATTGCCATCTTTTTGAGTCGTTTTAACAGTTTGCATAAATTCTAAATCTGAAAATATCTTAATCGTTAATAAATTTTAATATTGTTATAAATTATAACAATAATTGCGATTTTCATACTTATATTAGGTACTTGTAAAGACGCTTCCTTAACTTGTGCCATTCTTATTCGAAAATAATTAGTTTGGGATTGAAGTCGAATTTATTTTATTTATTAACGTTAATCAATTAAAAATTTGAAATCGAATTTTTTTTTTAATAATCAAATTAAAATATCAAATGATTTTATTAATAATCAAATTTTAATGATTTTTTTTTTACGTTGATTAATTCGGAGATCAGAGATTAATAATAACCTGTCCCAGATTTTTTATTTGCATTAATACGAGATACGTAATACATTTGTAGTATAATAAATTCAGAAATTCTGAGTTCTAATTTTTATTGAATTTTGGAATCAAGTGACGACCCCTTCCATTTGCCGCTGGGGTTTGACCAATCATTCTGCGTGACAATTAAGCACCGACAAAATATATTTATATAAACAAATTAACCGGTGCTTATTTGTCACGCACAATGATTAGTCACACCCCGGCGCTTAAGTTTCGTAGCGTTGCATTAAGAATTGACCTGTTATTTCTAAATCGATAAAATTTAAGAATGAAGTAGGTCAATTCAAAATCGACCTAAATTGTGAAATGACGTCAAACATTTATACATAAATGAGAGCTGCACAGGGAAAACCTGTAAGTAAAATTTAATTCGTTAAAATGCACGATTTTGACCAATCAAATTTCAAGATCAGCTTGATCTTGTTTGGTTAATATTGTACGTACAATATTTTAACGAATTAAATTTTACTTACAGGTTTTCCCTGTGCAATGTTGGGTTCTAAACGGGTCCCTAGACCAGAACCACGGCTTAGTTTTTATTTTTATATTTATATCCTGTTTAATTTATATATTATCCATTTTTATCTATTTTCATATATGTGGGGCTTGGAGAATAAGGAATGTGGCTTATTAGACGATTAG